AAATAAAAGGTCATCTCATATTCATAACGTTGGGCCGAGCTATAAATTGTTCGGTAATGAATGTTCCCGCCCCAATAAAAACTCCCATATTAAATGGATGCAGTTTACTGGCGACTGACAGTTATGAAAACTAACGGCGCCATTTTGAATTGATTGCTAGAAGTCTGCAGGTGTCATCGCGTCCCTCAATATTTAAAATCTAGATAATCAATGAGGTCAGTCGGGTTGTTAAATCTACATTTTAATGCTAGTTTTATTTAAGGTTTAGTACACCAAATAACATAACACTCAATATTTTATATATTAGCTCCTTCCTTGACTTCTTTCAAAAGTCTTTTATACAAACATCTACTGTCCATATCATGTCAATAAATTTAACTTTCCTTTTCCTTTTTCTATTTTTTATATATTTTTTTCTTTTATTTTGATGGGGTTTTATTATTATTAATTTAAGTTTATTTTGTTTAGTATAAGTAATAGTAAGTAATCGCTAAGTCTTTTGCCGTTGCCTGGAAGAGATCGCTTATAGCGATAAGGCCGCCCGGTACACTCTATAGTTTTAAATTGCATAGTATCTCTATTTTCCGTTTGGTGTACCCAAGTGTGAAATAATTAAATATATTTACGTTAATAAGTAATCATTTACTTTCAATGTAAATAACAATAACTACAGCCAACATATAAACTACAAAATAAGAACATTAAGTTGTTAATAAAATTTTTAAGTAAATACATAGCCCAAGTTTTAAAACAGCACAATTTTCCTACTGGTTTTGTTTACACTGTGATACATCGGAGGATTTATGTGGAGAGCGGAGACCGCATCGCCTCCTGTGGAAATTTTAATGCTGGCCGTGCGAATGACGCGAAATTCGCGGTTTGCGGAGCGCAGTCACGCGATACAAATTCACAGCCAAGACTATTTTGATTAAATAGCCATTGAGATTCTTTAAAGCGTGATTATTATTATTGTTTATTAAAGCTCCAGTACAATTTGAGGGTAATTACTAATGAATAAAAATAACTACTAACCTAAGTCACATGAACTACATCTTAGATTTAATTTTAAAAGAGGTGATATGTATTCCGATATTTTTATTTGACCCGTTATAAAATTTATTTCCTTTTTTAATCCCACATTAATAAGACTGCAAATGGCATGTATACCAGATAGCGATATTAACATTGCTATTGTTTTTTAATTCTAAAATTTGTATACCTCTTGACTTTATAAATTATGACGTACGACATTGACATTTGACATTGACATATTAAATTGACATATGATATTTAGAGTTTGACACGAGCGGACCTCCAACAAACACGTGCTTACAGGGCAAGGTAAATATTTTCTCAATTATAGATTACGTTAAAATTTTAATCTACAATGAAAATAACATCCTAATGCATATACAACGTAATTCGATTAGCCCGACCCACTTCATCTAACCCATACACCGTAAGATATATCCATTGCGACAGGCGTCGAAGGAGTTTATTGAAAAATATTTTCATAAAGCTCCGACCGTCCTCATGAATATTGATGACGTCCTGAATATTCAGGGGCGACACTAGCAATTGAAAACATGCCGGGGGGCTGCGATTGTCGCGCCGTGTCCGCAACGCTGCAGTCCGAAATCCTACCGAATATGCGAATACGGAATGAGCATTTAAAAGTCAACGCCGAATATCTGATGCGCTGATCGGTATTTTGAGGAGGCGCGTGGTTGCACCTAATTTCGTGACGTATGTTGCTTTGACTGCGCTGAAGTTGGATAGTTGGAGTTCTGCACAGCAATTGTAAATAATTTGATTCGTATAAATTGATTGATTGAAATTTTCCGTTACTTTTTTTTATGCTTAGCAACAAGGCAACAGTTTAGCTAAATATTCAGAGTATCATTTTTTATAATAGAGGAGGACAGACAAAAATGGTTATTATTTGGAGATAGCTCTGTCGACCTATTTTGGCCGAGGATATGCGCAAAATTAAAACTATATCAATATTTGATTGGTCTGTTCGAAATTCTAATCAGTATAAAATCTACAGTTCTTGCGAGGAAGACTAATTCTGTGTGCTGTAAATGTTGCTTAGTATCTTTGTATTAATAAAGTTTCGTAAGACAAGCTTTCTAACAATAAATATAATATATACATAAAAAAATTCCTAAAAAATATTTATGTGTCTATTTTACTTATAAATTGTTTGTGGCCTCTTAAACAAGAAAAAAAAAAAAAATTTAAAAAAAAAAAAAAAAAATTAAAATTTTTTTCGACTCGGGCAGGACTTGAACCGGCATCGTCAGCTTTCCGTGCTGTTTATCTTAAACCTATTTCTTCATTTCTTTCTTTTTAGATTCAAAATGCAATGCATGCAGATTACCATTAAGCCCTTAAAAATAAATTGTACCATTTTCATGTAGCCTAGGATCTCCTCATCCAACACCATTAGTGCAGTGATAGGGTGTGATGATAATGTTGTCAAAATACCGCAGTGTCGTTATTTAACAATTAAACAACAATGCAAATCAAATGCTATGAATCAGGTGATACTAATGACCAGCACAAACAAGAGAGACATCAGGCTACAAGAAATAATAATAATTAATCGGGATGTCTCCCGCCCCCTCACTCCCATAATGTGCCCAAGTTTATACAAATTGTTTTCCCTAATAGCTCCACTGTTACGTTAGTGACTATCATGATTCTTAATTGTTTATTTTATTGCACTGAAGATGTTTAATGGTAATCGTGTTTTAAATATTTTCTAATTAACCTTTTGCTTTCTGGAAACAACCTATTATATAGTTGCGATTAAATTTCACGGCTTTCCTAATATCCAGATTTCCAGATGGAGTACACAACGTTTGCAGTAGAATTATCACTTGAGATAAAAATTGAGATCCGTTGGGTATCGAACCCGCGACCCGTTCATTATAAGCCACACATTACTACCATTACACCATTCTGTCACATACTTACTAGAGTAAGTATATACATATAAAATTGTATCATTATAGATAACAATACAATTTTATAATAATATAATTTAATTCTGGTTTCTTGATTGTGTTAAATTATTATTTCTGCGTTTTTTTTGTGTATGCTTTCAATGTTACATAATTTTTCATCTCACATAAATGGGGTCAATATCGTATTGGTCAATTGGTTTTTATTTAAAATGACGCAATTTACTTTAAAATAACTTTAAAAAAATCTAAGACTCAACACTTATAAGAGCGAACAATAGTGTAATATAATTAAATTGAAAGGGACGATGAGGTTTTTGCCTAGCTAAGTCTAGGACCAAAAATACAACGTAAGCTAAAGTTCTTCAAATCGAGATTAGATAAGTTGTAGGTTAGCTCGATTACACGGAGCCCCTCTGATTACAAAAAGGGAAGTTCTCACGGATTTTATCAGGGAATTGGGAGATATTTGAGAAGTCTAATGAAGGAGGGCGTGACGCTGCAGGAGAGTCCAATTAATTATTTGTCACGCGCTCGCGCTGCCTGATCAATCACGGTTTACGAATCTTGTTATTTTGACGGCGTACTTTCAATACTATGTGCTTACTTGATTAGATTGATTCAATCAGTTTGGATTTGCTTAATTCTAACTTATTTACAAAGAAACAAACAAACAAAGAATACTTTATTGTCGCCAAAAGAATACTACCACTATAAGATTTTATTTGAAGAAATTTCGAAAAAATGTAGCGAGAAACGACAGGCAACCTTGAAGATCGAGATATACAATAATTGATAATATTGGTAACGTTAGAACTATAATATATTATAGATTATGGGTATTAACTAATTTAACTAAATTAAATAAACGTTTTAAAATATACAATGAAATACTGTATGTAGTATACGCGAGTAGTACACGCACGGAACGCTGACGATGCCGGTTCAAGTCCTGCCCGAGTCGAAAATTTTTTTAAATTCATTTTCCATTTTTAAATTATGTAAAAAATAATAAAGTTTTCAAACTTTAACAGTTTAAAACAGTTAAAGTGTTTTATCTAAACATCATACACATCCAAATCTTAAGTTATATTTTTTCTTGTAAAGAACACTGGAATAGTCTTATATATTATTATAAGATCTCTCAATAGGTCATCTAACATCTGACTAGTATTTATTAAGGCGTTATGTTGTCTATAAAATTTTATACCCTTGACTTTAGATAGTCGGTTCGTCAATCAATGCGTACAGGCAAATTCCGCCCCGAAGCACAAATACCGAAAAGCGGTCTAGCCTTCCCGGAACGTCCTAAATTGGGGAACACTAGAAGTTCCCAAATGAAGCGCTGTATTTATGAGAGCGGCCCAGATCAAAATGTTCAATTACGTATCCCAACCCTGGGCTTAATCTGTCGCGTTCGCCTTGCTCGCTCATTAATCAATCTTTTTTCCCCGGGATGGGCAAATCCCGCGTGCTGCAAGGAACCGGGCAAGATTTATGCAGCCCATTCCGACGGCAAACAGTAATAAATTTGACGGTTAATTGTTGACCGCGGAACTTCATCTGGCTGTTTTACTGAAATCTAGTTATTTTAGAGCGTTTTAAGAACATTGCAAGTTTGTGCAACTGAATTAATTAGTGGAAGAACTTTGTAATGCATCGGAACGCCTTATAATGACTTAATTGACTAGATTTATAACATTTTATATTGTGACGAAGCGAAAAATAAGGATATATGTTGTCGCAGTCTTCATTATTTTTCTTTTAGGACGGTGTTTTCTGACCCAGGCGGAATATCGATATTATCACAGCATATTTAGCATTCCAAAGGCTAACTGGTTCTGAAAAGTCATAAATTTATTTTTAAAAACATGATGGAACTGGTCGGAATCAAACTAATGACCCATTTTTTTAGTAACATTGTACTTGTACCATAAAGCTCGTTGTTCTCCGTTTGTAACATAGTGGGCATATAATTTTGTTAGCTATACAATTTATAAGGCTAACAACTAATCAGTGGTTTATTTACAGGTGAAACGTCAAGTGCGCCATGTTTGGCAGTTTCGTCGCCGAATAGAACTGCGCCGGCGCCGCTTCCTACACCTGTAAGTGCCTTAAAAGCTCTCAATCAAAAAAGATTTAATAAACATAATTCTACGCGAATCTGATGCTGAAAATTGCTGTAATCAAATAAAACAATCTTGAAATCGGTCAAGGAAAAAGTAAATAAAGCGTTATATTAAACGTTAAGAGGATTTGTAAGATCAAGAGGATTATGGGGTCGCAGAACGTTTTTATCACTGCGTAATAACATTTCATTTTGAGTAATATCTTAAAGGAAATTCGTAGATGTGACCTGAAATCAGTAAGTGCTACTATTAGGTATTATCTTCTGAAGGGTTTATCTGGGACACAGCCTACGCAATCAAAGATATAAATTAGACATTTAATAGTATTATAAATAAGTTCATTTGGCTTTCAAAGTAGTATGGTAAATAATCATAATAACCATAAAAGAAAAATAAAGAAATACAAAATCGAAGAGAGTTTAAGAGATTGAGTTGAACTAGAAGACAAGTTGTAGCACAGTTACGATACAACACTGATTTTCAGCAAAACCTTATTGACATATTTCATATAATAGGTAGGTATACCATAGGTATTGTAATTGTTTGAAATAGCCTAGATGGTCAATCCTATTTCTTATACTAACACTGAATTTATAACGCTAAAGAATAAGTAAAGCCTGATTTATTATATATACATGAAGGAATAATCAAATTGCATCCCTAAATAGCGGGACTAGCTTATCAATAAAATGTTTTGTAACTGAAATTATTAAATAAATATATTGTAAATACGAACCCATGTGGGCCTCCACTGTGTTGTGATGGTATTATATATTAAGAAAAAAAGGAAATATGACTAAATATAAAATTATGTGTTATAAAAATTTTATTATTAGAAATAGTATAAATGGCAATCAAGTGTTTTTAAATAAAATATGGTATAATATTTTTTTAATAATACTGTTAATTTGGGTAGTATATTTTTCATATCCCCTTAATTTACTTAGACAATTGAAAATGTTTAACTACCATATATCAACGGAGCCTACTAAACATGTTTACATTGTTGTGATGTATAATCAATTTAAAAAAACTGTGTTTTACAACTCTATAAGAGTGCTGCGAGCCTGGTGCGTCAAAATAATTCCATATAGTATTAATAGGTAATTTTAAAAACACATTGCATGAAACCTCAGCTAACAATTCGGAACATTTACCTTCGAATCGCGTAGAATCAGCGGTTTTTAATTACGTGCAGACTCATTAACCTTCACTGATTACGCTTTTGACGAGCTCGTATTAAAATTCCACTCGTTCTACTATATCGTTCGGTAACTCAGTTAGTTGTTCTGTTTGATGAGGACTTGCTAAAGTAAATTCGTGATTCGAGCCACCCGTGCAAACACGATAAACTTTCGCGCTAGATGGCGTTAGCAAGACGCCGAGTTTTCTTGGGGCGAATTAGTTTAGTGCGGTTTGACCCAAAATATTATTTGGAGTTGTGTACAACACACACAATATTAATAGTTCGCCCCGGGACATTACAATATATTGATTTTGTGGATGTACGTATTTCTTCAAACATGACAACAAAAACATGTAACACTATGGAAATGTAAAACTAATATATGTTATTGAAATGTAAAACTGTATTTTATATGATGTTGTTTATTATAACATAATTACATGGATAAGAGGATATCCAAAGCCGTAGTTGGTCGATCGCGCATACCGTCTCATCAATGCGTTAAGCGCGAGATGTCCTGAGTTTAAATCCTGGGAAAACAATAGATTGCTTCGATCGGACAGGGCACAGAAGTCTAATCAACTACTTACCTATTAATAAAACCAGTCAGTGAAAAGGACACAGATATATACACCCCATGCCTTACAGGGTGAAACGAGGTTTTACTTTTTTCTAATTATTTACGGATTTAACGTACTTAAAAACCCGCCTTTTTAACAACAATCTGGTTTGAATGTTGTTGAATATTAAATGTTGCTAATTTTAACGTTTTACTTTTATTATATTTCTTAAACATCGGCCTCAAGTATAGCAACTTACACTAAGTCATTTGTTAAACTTTATATTTTTTTACCACTTTCGTAATAATAAACAATTTGTTGGTATGGACATATGATTACGCTTTTTATACAACAGTTATAAGCTAATAAAAAGTAATAATGAAAAAAAGAATTTGTTATTGTGGACATAAGATATTTAAAGATATTTTCAAACCGTAGCTTAAAAGCTAACCCCCTAAAAATGTAAAACCCAGCTGAACTTCCAGAAATTATTACAATGAAGGCATCACGCCGTGAACCCGTGAATTTACAATAGTTTCGTTAATATATGAGGGAAATTTGTAATAATGGATGTGATATCGGTGTAGCAGATGCATTCTAGTGTTTCAGTGCGTGATCTGTAAAAGCAATTGATATAAATTATAGTCCACAGTGCCTTGGAAAATTAAAGGCACAAATCAATAGGACATCTTTATCTTCCGCTTTTCATTGATGCATTGATATTATATATTCGATAGTTGAATCGGAACTAATTTTGGAAGATGACCTAATAACCAATTTTATATTTAAGTCTCGATTCTTTTTACGACTATCCACTCTAGGGGAAACTATAGAACCTAATAACTCGGCCACTTAGTCTCTCTCTAAGTTGTTTCTCACAACGATGGACAGTTGCAATGTTTATTATATTTTTTGTAACCTAAATGTATTTTATAAAGAAAATTATTATTGATACTGTTAATCGTTTTAATAAGTATAAATTGAGATTAAATAATACAGAAATCTGTACTAAGTATATCTATATCTGTTTATTTAGATAAAGAATAATCATTTTATATCAATGACATTACAAATGTTTACCCAAATAACGAATAAATAACTTGACACATGTTTTCCTAAAAATGTTGGACTTCGTCTAGAATGAGTAAGTATTAGGAATTCTTGAATTTCCAAAACCAAAAATACATCGTCAACACAAGTAGTTGAGATGTTATATGACTGGAGTATTTTACCTACCACGAAACAATGGGGTTCGCCCCATACTTTTTGTCCTCCGCTATCATAACAAAAGAATGAAGTATTCCATACTAATCGTTTAATAGTTTTTCGTCCTCGTCTCACTTATCTTATACGAAACGTCTTGTAAATTCATTCCGCAACTTTACTGCTTCAGCGGCCTTTAAAATAAGCTCAGTCAGTCATTCGATATATTCGTGGTCCTCAATTTTACGAGTCCGATTGAGTCCGTCAGTGCCTTGTGGCCAGTCTGTGATATCTTTATGGCACTCCTCCAATAACGCCACTTTACGACCCATTCTCGATATAACATCTTAAAGTCTTCGCGAATACTTTTCGGGTAATAAAGATAGAGTTTATGTAAATGGCGGAAAAATTATGATGTTTTTATCGTATCGACCTTTTTTATTGTGATTATTTTGTTGAATCAGATGTACCTGAATATGACTGCAGGGATAGTTATTTTATTAAAGGTATTTATTACTTTATAATAAAACTAGCTGACCTGACGAACTTCTTTTTGTCATATGAAGAATTTTGAGAATATTAGATTAACTGAAAACGGTTCTTGGGTGTTCTTTTCTAGAAATCTCAAGAACCACGAAGTAAATACTAAAGAAAAACTATCATTTTATATACAGTTTGGATCTCTTAAACTGTTTTCGCAGAGCAACAATTTTCTTAGTTTTTTTCCTGTTTTTTTTTATAAAGCCTCCATAAATGGTTTACCCAACATAATATTTTCTTCAATTCCAACCAGTAGTTCCTGAGACTGACCCGTTCAAACAAACTCTTTAACTTTATAATATTACTATAGATTAATATTCTCATCTACAAGAGGATTCTTAATCGTTATGTTGTATGTCTCTTTGTTTGTACGTTTTATTTTCAATTATAATATTTAAAATCAGATCGTGTTTGTTTATAGATGTAAATACATAATGCTCATATTTTGGATTTGTTTGAGGTGCCCCCTATGCTTTGCGGAAATACATTTTAAATGAGGGGAACACACATGGAACATAGTACAATTCCAACATTCTCCAAGAAGGAGGCCGGATGATCAGTCCACGCCATCTGCTGACCATGTCACCCATTTCCCCTCGGCAGAGGTCGTTAGGTTATCCGATTCTCACTGTGCCCCTTCAAACCTTCCGGTCTAGAAGAAGGCTAATAGTAATATTGCTATCGAATTAAGCTGTGCCCTATTAGGAGCTTATCTTGGAAAGGATAACGTTCTTAAAGACAGCATTAAGCGTGATATTCGCAGCGATAAATCCACCTGCTCATTGATTAACCGTGTCGCCAAGAGGGGCTGAGGGCGCTTTTTAATTAACGCGATAGTTTTATCACGACGTTCTTTTGTCCACACCCCTTGAGGTAACCACTCGAATATGGGGCTTGGAAATGTGCGGGTAGAGAAATCTTAGAAAGTATTTTTTTTCATATATCTAAAATACTTTTCACGGTTTAAAACGCGGAAAACTTCTTGTACTTAACTAGGACCTGACATTTCGGGTGCTTTGCATCAGTAGTAGTTCTTGGTTGAAAGATGTTCCTATTGTGAAAGTTAAAAGTGCTACGCTAGCGCCATCTGTTTCCTCGGTCTTCATTTATTTTTAAAATGTCGTCTTTTTTTTAAACATTAGAAAAAATGAGAAAGGTATAGTTTTATTTAAATGGGTACTATTATCGTAAACTACAGACAATACACGTATTTTAGGTCAAAAAGGAACATTGTCAGATTATTAAATTTGTAAAATTGTTATGAAAATATCTCATAGAGCCCTGGTCTATTTTACTCTGTTATTTTCCGACTTTTACCCGCTGAAAAATATGGCGTTCTTATGACCTTTCCCGACCGTAATTATTGATATAATTTACCCAGAACCTTTCGTCCCAAACTCAATGGAATGCAAGCGTTAAATCACTCGATCGGGTAGAAATTGAATCTATCAAAAAAAAAAATCTATATGAACGCATTTTCGTAACTATCTCCAAGCAGATTCATATTATGAACTAAAAAAATATCTTGGAGGACAATTCGCTTGTTTTCTGACCATAATGTGGTTGATTAATGATAGCTAAGGTAAAAAATTGACCGAGTGTATATTACAGGAACGATGTTGCTCTCCGCAACGTGTTTGTTACTTGTGTGTTACCATTTATCATAATTATAAATAAATGGTCTTAAGTATCGTCTGTAATTTACGAGTAGTATACATTTAAATAAAACAGTTTTAACATTTTGAAACGCGGAATATATTAGTTGACTTATTTACAATTCATTTTAACTACGCCCCGACATTTGAGATGCTTTGCGGCAGCCGTAGTCATGGGGGGACTGAAAATGGAAAGACTCCCTAATGTCAAAGTAAACACTGCTATGCTAACGCCATCCGTTTCGTCATTGAAAGTAAAGCATACATTGAATCTTAATGTGCATGCTTAAAATATGAAATCACATTGTGGGAGAGGGGCATGTATCAATCAATAGGTTGAAAAAAACACGTTGACTTGTAGGACACAGTAGCTCAATTAGGAACGCTGTGAATGCCGATTCAAGTCGTGCCAGTATATTGCCATCATGTGCAATAATATTTCAAAGTGATTAAGTTCCCAGTGTTTTATTTAAATAGTTAACAGTATATATTTTTTGATTTCCCTCAAATATATCGAAAATCACAGATAGCCTACATTCTGTCTCCGAAATAGCGTTTGTTTAGAATTTAATGCTAGTTATATAAGAATAATAATTAACCGTGTATTTGACAGGCCTGCAACGGCCCTGGTGCATCATGGACTTGGAGTGCCCGCGCCACCACCCCTTCTGTGTCCCTCGGCAGGAGTGCTTCAGCGTCACTACGAGCAACAAACACCCAAGACTTAAACGTCGATGCTATTAAAGAGAAACTGCTTGATAACCGCATACCCGAATCGTGTGTGTAAAGTGACTTTGACTGAGTTATCAATGAGTAAAACCGATTAAACGTAGTTAAGCCGTATGTCCATTGTCAACCTCACCGGCACGTCACCGTGAACGAGATTTAAAAGTGATCTTAATGGTACTTTCAGCTTCCTGACATTTTTCATACCTTACATAAATTTTACCTTCATTCACATCCTCCGTTTTTATTGACACATACATATTAATTGTTGCTTTTTTATCTATATATTTCATTGTAATATATTTGAATATCAACTATTAAAAACCAATGTATTTATTTTGCAAACAATTAGAATAAAAGCTAAATCGAGATTGACATAAAGTACTTTAACGGTGAAGTCCGGCGTCGCTAGCATTGGTCAAACTTATTTGAATAATGGTTTTTAACTTCTGCCCGACATTTCGGATATTTTGCAGAAGCCGTCTCCGGCTGACCACGAACGTTAAAAATCATTCTCAAATACTGTCTAACTAATATATCGCGTTTTCCTTTAAATGTTTTAAAACTGTGTAATACTCGCGATAAACTAGTTAGACTGTATTTGAAAATCGATATTGACATTTTGTTTTCGGTTGAAGTCCCGGGCGTCGCTAGCATTGGACAAAGGATCTGAATAACGACTTCTGGCCGAAATCTAAATCATTTTCAAAAAGTCTAAGCGGCTTTGACACATCCTGTTATTTAAATAAATGATTCTAGTATTTCTAAATCCATAGCAGTAACTACGAAAATGAAACCGAATCATCACGGCAATAGGAACGATGATAAATAATTCTTGTACATATGGAATGCGGTGGGCGTAATAAATAGGAATAAATTAATTTAATATTTATTATAATATTATTTATATCCTTTTTTATTTGAATATAAAAGTCATAAAGAAGCTAGTAAGATGAGAATAGTTAAACTAGACTTAGCAACAACTGATATCCTCTGTACTTTCAATGGTCGAGAAGGTAGTAAAACTTCGTTTTGGGCTGCCTTGTTAAACGATGTCTTATTCAAATAACAGACACATTAACTTCTCTATCTAACAAAAAGGTTGATTTTATTAAAGATAGTAAAAAAATAATTATCATTATATATATGGTTTTAAAGAATCAAAGCTTATTATCAAAATTCCAATACATCTTCATACAAGTATTTACAAAGCGGTATTAAAATTAAAATACTCTAGTCCTTTGTTACAAAAACTTCTCTTCGCAACTGTTTCTGTCCTTTATTTACACTTTGTACGTGACAGTACGTACTTACATGGTGCGCCCACTGCACTGCAGGTAATCAATGCCGACGGTTTTGGATGATGGTATATACAGGCCTAACTTCCTAATGTATAGTTAGTTAGTAATGTATGGTTTTTGATAATAACTCTTTACAATAATTATTACTGTTTTATCGGGTTTCTTTCGCGTTCTTCAATTTAAGTTAAAAATAAATTAAACAGGATTCATCAGCTTTTTTTCTTAAGACATGGTAATGGTTTAAATATTTTTTTTAAAATTTAGAATTAATGAGACGTATTTTTCACTGTATTCGCGTTCTCATATACGAACACCCGATTCTCAAAGTATCAGCAGCGAATGCAACAGAAAAGTTTTGAACAGCTTTAATTACGTTTAACCGAAAAACCGATTCAACGTTTCGTTTATCGAGTGCATTCGAGAATCAACCTGCGACTTTTAATTTTTCGAAACTTTAAAATCGGGCTTTCAAACTCCCCTTTCATTTGAACTATGTACATAGTAGGATGTAAGTGACTGAGTCTTTGCAACTTTTTTACATGTCTACGGTTTAGTGTAAATTGTAATAGTTAATTGAAATAGTGTCTGGGAACGTTGTACATAATGATGAGAATGATAAATTCCTATCGGCAGAGTAAACTAGCGACACTCTCAAATGAGACCGCTGTACGTATCTTGTATAGATTTAAATTAGTTCGATGATAAAATAAAGTCGATGTGTAATAGGGCAAACGTTCTTTTAATTATGGAATTTTCATGTTTTTAAAAGCACTTTAGCGGTTTAAACGCGATATATATTTGGTTAAATTCTAGCTACTAGCCGTCTCCCCGCGACCACGGCTGCTGCAAAGCATTCAAAACGTCGTGTCGTCGTTAAAATAATTTTAAAATGAGTTTAACTAATATACATCGCGTTTTAAACCGTTAGAGCGTTTCATTTAAACGTGTACTACTCGCGTCAACTACAGACAGTATAGCATATCATTTGAAACATATCTTCAATTATCATTGATTTACAGAAATAAAGATTTTTGTGATAAAATAACTGTAATTACATATCTTTATATTTATCACTAAATCAAAATCTACCACTGTCTTTATGAGGTGTGTAAAATCATACTATAGTAAAACAATTTTATCTTACCATCGAACGAAAGATCTCGAGAAAATAGAAATAATTTAGGTAGTAATAATTTATAAGTGATTTGTTAATTATAAAGTTTAAAACTCAAAGAGTTCGCCCTATTGTTGTTTATTTTGGACGAGATTAAAGGTTGTCTTGAAACAATGCTTTGAATTATTCCAACTCCCACATTCTCAGAGAATTTCTCCTTTTAGAATATCTTTATTAATTTGTTTACTAAGTGATGCATTTCCACGTTTTAACACTAATTTAGCAAAATTTTTTTGTTCAAATATGTGATATAATAGGCTTAATAATTAAATATATAAATACATACATCTATAAAAAACGGCAGCCAAATATTTGTAAGTCTGTGTGTGTACGCAAGTGGTATTACATAAAACAATTTAAAACGCGAAATATATCAGTCTCGACGTTGCGACGGCTGCTGGATAGCAAAATGTCTGATCGTAGCGTAAAACAAAGTGACGTATAAATGTTACAAACGTTACGTTTTAAACCGTTAAAAGTTTAAATGAAATGGTTTCAAACTGGATAGATATTAGTTAAACTTCATTGAAAATTATTTTAATTAATATCTTTCCGTTACCACGGCTGCTATAAACCATCCAAAACGTCGGGCCGTAGTTAAAGTAATTGCCAAATAAGTTTAACTAATAGATATCGTGCTTTAAACCTTTAAAAGTTGTTTAACTCTTTGATCATGATTCCTAATTATAATAAGTATGCTTTCTTGAATACTTTCGTGTGCTACGCCACTTATACCTTACTTTAAATGTCTAAGTACCCATACTAAGTGACGTACCCTTAGGCGTCAATTTCTGTTTCCGTTTCCTGCAGGCACTTAAAACGCCAGTATAGGTACACCTTTACAAGAGAGTCGTTAGAGTAGATGACACAAATGAATCATAATGGCGTCAAGGCTCGTAAAGGCTTTTATTGTCGTTTCGGCGCACACTCTCGCTAAGTATCATTTGAATGAATGTGGCTTTTTGTTGTGTTAGGGATATATATAATAGGGGTGGACAAGTTACCCGATAGTCTATTTAGTTAATTATCAAATATTTCAATTGTAATAAGTACGAAGATATTATTTATGTATTTTTTATTACAAATTTAACACATATATTTCAATTGCGCATATGATTGTTTCGAAGAAATAATTCTTCGAGCAATCGAAGAGCTATCTTGATGCCTTCCGCTCGTGATGGCGAAACGTTGAGAACCTCTTCTCGCTCACGTTGGCCGAACAGAGCGAAAAACAATGTGATGCTGAACGTTGGCCGTTAAAGCCACAATGAATGTATCAGTTGTTTAAAAAAAAATGTTATTCATGCATCTATCAAGAGAAGATAAGACTTTGAAAATTGATGTTTTCATTTCAAATAGTAGGTTACACCCCGGTTTCTATAACTTCTATGAAATTACGGTAACGGTGAACAGTGAAGGTACGAGTTCTATGAAAGCGAAGTTATGACATAAAAGTAGTAATTTTTTTATTTTTAGGATAAGGATTTCTTTGATCGTCGAATAAAATACTAAAATCAAAAGTCAATATAATATTATATTTTAAAATATATGTAATTACATATGTTATTTATCATTATAACATCTTGACAGATAAAACATAAAACCATATCTTAACGTACAAGCTTTAATGTATTAAATAACTTCAACAAAAACATGTTCTTTGTAAAAAAAAATTTTCATACCTCATAAATGTATGTGTCATAATAATTTTCTATTGTTATAGCGTATTAGTGGATACAAAAATATGTCTAACTATTATTAAATTTAAAAACATGATTAAAAGGATGCTAAGTTATTATTAAATGACAATTCGTGCTAAACTTTAATTTACGTTTTTCATAAGTAAGAAGTATTAGTGAATAATAAGAAAAATAAGATAATCTAATCGAAGACGAGTAAGATAGATATGCAGATTAAAAATTTCACTCGCTATATAGTCTGTTAGGTATATTATATGTAAAGTTAAATCAATAGACGTCGATGCTCTCCTGGTGGATCACGGTGTCCTGACGGAACATCTCCACGTCCACCTGGCTGTCAGCTTGCACAAGTTTACCGCGACCCTCCTAAACAGGTAACAATGTTAAAACATATGTACAAAGGAAAAAGTTATGAAGAAATGAAATTTGGTGTTTTACACAGGTGTAGGGATTTTTGCGAGCACCAAAATAAAATATAGATAAAATAAAAATATTAACTATATTAAAATATTATTACAATTATCTAACATACAAGACGATAAATTTCGTCTTTCTCTTTAAATAAAACGTTTTAGCGTTTAACGTCCTACGTCTTAATTCGCCATCTTTGATCTCACTCCCTCTGTCCCTTTTGCACATATCCTTTCGCTCATTCTTACATTTCATTCCACACATTCTAGATGTGTATTTAAACCTAGTATTTCTATACAAATGTTTAAAATAGTCAGTTTGTATTGAAATTGCCTCACAAACTTAATTTAATAGTTCAAAATGTATAATTCCAAGAACATTAAACCAAATTTTGTAAAAAGTATTCTAATTTTTCAGTTTTTTAAAAATGCATATTTAGCGCAATGACAAAATGGGACATTTTACCTTACTTTTAATGGAATGTCATAATAGTTATGAAGCATCAATACAGTATAAAACAGTAAAACTCGGCCTAATAAAGCAAAAATAGGTCAACAGCACAACCAGCTTGTTGTTATAACCAAAGCTTTTTTTATTATCCAGTGAAATGTGTAACATCTGACACAAAAAGTGTTTCAGTTTTCAGAACAAATGTACATTTTTTAAATAATTTTTTTTTAATGTATTAATATTTTTTATAAAAACATACATATATTTTACTTTCTATACTAAAGGAAAGTTCTTGCTGATGAAATAATCCCTTGTATTTTCATCCTATCTTGAACGATGCATATAAAATATTAATTGGCGTATTACAAAGAGCTGTTGAATGGTGTCAAATCAAAATAAACCCGTCCCAGATAAATTCTATGTGAGGTATTTTTAAACGCATTTTCCCAACTGCTCATTTAAACATTTGCAAAGCGAAAAACAATTTCAGGAATTATTTTTATAACTAGCTTCCTTCGCTACGATATTGATATCGAAGATTTTTGCTTACAAAGGTCTTCTTTTATTACTAAAAGGGCTCTTCACAAAAGTACAATAGTATAAAGAAATGAAAAAAATATTGTTAAAGTGCATTAGTTAATTTCCAAAGCAAAGCCAACTTTACACCAATTTAACTCTCCTTCGAAGTCAGGGCCGTAACTTTGTTACCATTTGTATCTTAGTATACGGACTTTTAGATGGATCGGCTGATAAAAGCTATTTTAAGACCGATTGGAAAACTTAGCCTGATTGACTCTATCTGGGTCATCGTTGCGTCATTTACGGGGCTTCAATTCTAGTAATACACGGACAGTGAGAGGCAACTGACAGGCGAGTGAGAAAAAAGCGACCGATATCTGACATCAAAACAACTACTAAACGTCACTTTACTGAAATTATTTGCGGCAGATATGAGTTTGGACAAAATTGTTAAAATACTAATAATTTTTATTAGCACGCCTTTTTCATTCTTCCCAGACACATGACATTGAGATTGAAGTACAATGAAAGGAATGCCATCAAACGAAGAAGAAGTAATTGCGACAATATTGTAGTCAACAAACGCCCGGCGAACTATGGTTAACTATAATAAAAAATGCTAAAGTGTTTTATATAGGTATGTTGTATAAAAGGAGTGGCGGCTAGTACCTTGCCAGTTCTTCTCGTTCGTTCTACGCCCTATGATTTGAGAACTGGTAGTAAATGTAAGGTTAGATTTTTTTAGTTTTGTGACGTTTATAAGTGTACCTAGTTATTTGTAATAAAGATGAATTTGGCTATAGCTAGTGAATCTAGAGACTAGCGTTAATAGCAGAATCGGGGTCCGGATTTCACGTAAGAATTAAAATCTGATTCAAGGCAAGGTTAATAGACTAAGCTAAAAATAAAATGTATATGGCTTTGAAAGTATAAATGGGCATTAAATACTAAGCGATAAGTTTCTATCTATTCAGTTTTTCAAGGTAAGACGAGTAAAAATGTCCAGTGCGTTTTGAAGTGATAATTTCATAGGGATCAGCGTCGTTACGCAATTCGTAACGACGCTGTTTTCGTAACGGCACAGTACTGTACAGTACGCATTGCAGTCTGGCTTCTAATTCTAAAATTGAATTAGTTTTAGGTAATATTTCTATCAGGCGTAAAACGAATTTTACGTCATTTACTTTTCTAATGAAAGATCTAACGGCGGGCAGACAACTAAGTCCTGTAATGAATGAACAGAATGGAAATACCCTAGCCAAGTAACATCACACCAAGATTTCGGCTTGGATATATGGAAATCCGTAGCAGTTGGAGGCTCGCTGAACGAGTGCAGCCGGATGACCTCTAGCAGGCAGCAATGGAAAAACATCGTGAAACGGATCACATCTGCCCCCTCCAAGACTACGAGTACATAGCGATCACGACCGCTCTGTCAAGAGCGTACCGGATTAAAAGAAAAGAAAATGGAAATCCACAGAGTGAAGCGCAATTAAACTTTACGATTTTTCCCTGAGTTGTGACCGGTGGTTCGTGACCCGTACAGAAAAAAATTCCTACCAGCCAATTTAAATCCGGATTTCCAGACGAACATGTCACAGAAAAATTATAAATTGATATGTTAACGTCATAAACATGTACCTGGATGGGGGGGGGGGATCTCACAACTTGCTGATTATTAGCCAAACATTACCTACACTACCAAAAGAAGTAGTCGTATTTATGACTTTATTCGTTCGATTTTTTTTACCTTTGGATGCATAAGTATGAAGGGCAGCTCAGCGCTAAGTTCACCATTTAGAGCGCCAAGATACAGTTTTACCTTAGCGCTGTAACTCACTATGATGCCAAAAGCATCACGCTGCTCTGGTTCCAGAAGCCTGGAAAAGTAATAAAATAATTAAATTGCTTTGTATTAAAATAAGTTAATTTAACTATTATAGGATTACAATTAATACTATTAAAAATAATGGTAAAATAAGACCTTTCTTCTTCCTTCTTGTCTTGTTTTACCATTTAATTAATTAATATTATCTATGTAGTTATATTCATAATATTAATTTCTTATAATTTGCGGTTGATTTATTTTTCGATATATTTCTACTAGTAGCTTGGTAAAAATATTTAGGTTGTCTAATTTCGACCTAAGACGAAGATTGATCGACTTTAGAGTTCATAAAGTCTTTAATAAATTCGAAAGTATTCATTTTTACCTTCCCATAAATCTACTTACAAAGTGGTCGAGGCAAGTGAACTGTCATGTCGTTTCAGTTGCGCGTCCAAGGCAAGCCCACGGCGATCACGCAATGGGGTCAGTTCTGGACGTAGCTGGACAACTTTTTGCATACTTGCACCAGGTTGCAATGGGCATCCATCTCTGTTCAATATATGTATATGTTGTTATGATGTAATTATAATATTTAATCTCATAATATTTTTAGTCAAAATATGTACCTACCTACTACATTTAAGTTAAACAAATTTACTGACTACTGCAAAGCAATAAATTAAATTAAAAATAAGTTAACTAACATATTTTCGTTATATAAACCTTTTTTCAATTATTTTGTAATAAATTTACTTGATAATCCTACAAAATAATTAGTAGTATCACCTAGGTTAATTTAAGTTATAAAGTGGCAAAAGAGGCTACAACGTCTAAGCCCTAGGCAAGTCTAGTAAGAGACCTAACAATCGGAACTACGTTGACAATATATTAATTAAGTAAGATAGATCGCGACAGTTTCCTTAGATACTCACTGAGTTTCCACACTGCAGACAACATTCCGGTATTGTCCGTTTTGGAAGAGGACTACGTCCACTGACTGCAGAATGCATGCCTTGATCTTCTTCACCACCTTGTTGCTATGGTTACGAACGCTGATGTTGATAGCAATTGTTTCGCCGTGAATGTACAGCTATAAAAATGTTAAAAAATATTTTAATTAGATATGATTTAAATGAAAGATATCATTTAGGAGTGAGAAGGTTCAACAAAACTGGTGGTTTCTTCTTGTTAAAGTCAAGATAAGGCTGCGGAGTAAGTGAAGAAGCTGGAACTCATTTATGTTTGTATGTGTATCGCTGGAAAGAAACTACGAAATCTTCTTCTTTCTTTCATTCTGCTTCTTGGACCTATGACGGGCCAAAAAAGCAACTACTCTACGTCTACTTCTTCTTTGAATGCTGTTATTATAGTGAATAGTCCCCGGACTATGTGGTAAATCTGTAGAATTCATTCCTTAAATATTTTAAGCACCTGTTTATCTAAAGTCAATTCAAGTTCCAGTTGTCCTGGAGACAGCATAAAGTCCTTCCTCACAACCGTGCATGGTTGAGGTCCTGGCTTGTTTGGTGCAAACTGTATCTTACGGATTCCCAGGGCAACAGTGCTCCTGAAAGAATAGAAAATTTTAAATGATTATAGATAGCATTTTCACATTTTATTGCACATAAAACTATAAAAAAAGTAATTTCGAGCAATATTAGCAATTTTATATTACGGTAATAGCTCGAAACGCTGTGGATGCCGTTTCAAGTCCTGCCCGAGTCGCAAATATTTTTCATCAAGTCATTGTACTGTTTCCATGATATAATATGATGACTACGTTGCATACCTACGATGAGATCTATCAATCTCCGTGTCTCCAACAAAGAGTTTGATGTAATAATGCACTCCGCATGGTTCGCCCTCGTCTTCTAAACCTGGCTGCAAGGTAACTGATCCAGGGGAACCAGCGGGGACGGATAAACGAAACGGAAGCGCAAACTGTCCCAATTTCTTAACCAGCCTTTCCTGATAATGAACACAAAACAACATTTAGAACGTTAATCTTCATAAAAAAACTAAAATATTTTAATTAAAACACTTATTCATACATAAGTTCGTATTAATATAAAACAGTTTAACGGCTTAAAACGTGAAATGTATTAGTTAAACTTCTAACTTAGTTTAAACTATATAAATTACTTAAGCTAGAGCCGTCGGGCTAATTTAATTTTTTTTTTATTTATTTAATTTAAAGTTTAAATTATTTATATAGTAATTTATAAGTTTCGGACGCTTTGCAGCAACCGTGGTCACAGTGAGACTCAATGGCTGCTGCATAAGCAATAATTTGTAAATCAATCAATAATTAACACATTTGGCATTTATAAACGTTAAAAGTGTTTTTATTTAAATGTTTATTACTTGCGTAAACAACAGACAATGCATTACTTTTAGTTTAGTTATTATATTTTTAACGGAACTTAAGTAATATAATATACTTAAATTCCGTTGTTCCAATCCGTTTATATCCCATACATCGAGTACGATTTGTAGAGGAAATGTGAATTTCATAACTTTAGCCCTAACAGCAGGATTAAGTAAATAAAACAAACCACCATTATTAAATATCACCCGTATTAACTCTGCGCGCGTTGCACAGTGTACATATTGCGATACGTTAAGTTGGATATATAACTCAGTTTTGTACGTAAGTAGATATCACAAACTAAAACAATATACTACGAATATCTATATAATATTACGAATTTTATATAGATCTTACCCTAATATTGTAAATTCGTATCATAATGTTTCTATGTATACCTAGCATTGTGATAGATTCTTTCGGTCGGTTAGAGCACCAAGAAAATCGTTTTTCTTTTTTCTCTAGTTGCGGTAGTGGCCATAACGTCTAGACTCCAAAAAGCTTATATATTATACTCAGATATATATATATCTACTGAAAATGCTTGCACTGTAGTGAAAAGCGTTGCCAGTAATAATTAGATGGTGCTCGGATGAACGCCGCATCCAGAGCGTAAATGAAATTTATTTGGAGATTACCACTTTGTTCTTCAAAAGGGGATACGATACAATGAAGCACACTTATAATAAACTAAAATTTCAACTTAGAAATTCAGCAACAAAGTGGATTATGCACGAGCCACTGCGATATAATTATTTTGATATACTTTTGAGAGACGCTAATACATTTAGTGTCATTTTACGATGCTTTACTTTACAGGTGTTCGTTAAAGAAGACATAGATAGTAAGGATCCCTTTTTGTTCTTATAGGATAATATTATATTTAAGATTTTTCTTTGATTTAGCCTGTCAATTGCCAAGTCTTTAATTATAAAAATCTTGCCATACATGATTACTTTTCTGATGCTTAAATAAACTGTACATAATCAGTTTAAGAAAACTAATTCTGTATAATTTGATTTCAACATCAATGACATCTAATTTATAAGGATTCGTTTCGATTTCACTAACGTTATAATTATATTACCTACTAGCTTACCTAGCAAATATTCTGAACATATGAAGTATTTCGATCAAAACCATAAACACGGTTCCTGTAAGTTCTTAAAAATTTTGAGACGTGTACTATCGTGAAAATTTGTTTAGATAATTTAAAGAAAAATAAATATTTTTTTGTTATCTTGATCCATTTTCGCTACGAACGCAACGGAAACCCTCAAAGACTAATAATTTTCCCTGTTTTCCCACATTTTACTTCGTTTTTATTTTTGTCTTATATAGCCTAAAGCCTATTTGCTTAGAGCATAATATATACACAACACACCAAACAATAAATTTTCAATTTGAACCAGTAATTTCTGAGATTAGCGCGTTCGACAATTAAACAATAGACATAGAACACAATAGACAAAGAGATAGAAGATAATATTATTATAAAGCTGAAGAGTTTGTTTGTTGTATAGATTACATGTGTAATGTTACCTGAGTACGGGTTAAGTCATAAGCCCGCTTTTCAGGTGCAGGATAAATTTGCTCCGATGCAAGGTACAGTTCCTTGTAAAAGTTCACACCCATAACTTCATCTTCTTCTCTTCCATAGCGGAAAGTGCAGACGGCCTGCGCAAAGACCTTTCGACCACGCACATATTCATCATCGACTACTACAATACCATCTGGAAGAGAAATAAATGTTCAATCCATATTCTTTTTATACATCTCCAATTGGCTATCTTATCAGCAGGTATATTATTTTCAATAATTAAAAATCAACTTTAAATTCTAAAATAATCTATGATACTGGTAGGAGTTTAGATGCTGTGGATGCCTGTGTCATATTTTTAAAAATCTAAAAGAGAATTCTATTTTAAAAGTGGAAGCAATTTTTGAATTCCGAAAGTTCTAAGCCAAAGTAGGTAGCTACACGTCCTAAGTAGATGTTCGGTTCCGGAGGTATTTCGCCTTCTACTGAGTGGACGTCAACCTTATCCGTCCTCCTTTGTTAAAAAAAATCTTTAGTGCACCGATATTTATACTAAATATTCCAAATTTACTAGGGTAGATGTTAAATCTTATGTGATTTACAAGTACCAACAAAACGAAGATGGAATAAGAAAAACAATATAAAATTAGTAGATAATATAAGGCCACTAGGTGGAGTCTGAGTTATTTATATTTTCATAGTCAAAAAATTATAGTCTACAAGAACACAAAAATGAAAACCTGTTTCCCAATCGTGGGGCATGGGGCGAACACATGTCTGTGTTCGTTTTACCGATGCGCTATTTTTACGGGCAAGTAGTTGATCAGATTCTGTGCCCTGCCCTACCGAAACAATTTTATGTTTCCCTGGGATTCGAACCCAGGACCTCTCGCGCTTAACACAATGCTAAGCAATACGTTTAACCATTTGGCAACAGAGGCTTCAAGAGCACAGTTACTGAAAATTGTCAACATCATTTTTACAAAAATAATAGTTAAATTAATTTTAGCTTAACTTAATTCCGCATTTTATTTTTCTGCTTATTGACATGTTTTTTTGTTATTAGGCCACACTGCCTCTAGCAGTCTCATATATAACAACTTGATCTTCGAAGTTTTGATCCATAGCGTATCGGCGTAACGCGTAGTTATCATGATTAATAGGAATAAAACGGAGGTGTACTTCGAAACTACAAACTTGAAGGAACAAACATCGTTTAAAGCCGGCTATTAAAGTCGTATCTGTTAGAACAAGGAACAGCCCATCAGCGCTGGCGTGCGCCTGATGATGGATAACTTCAGCTGTTGCACTGCTTTCAGCCGCATCGTTTACGTTGTATAGTATTTCTTAGTCTCGTCTCTTTTCTTTGGTTTTTATTTACTATTGATATAGTATTTTACAATTTAAATAAAACACTTTAACACGCAATATATATTAGTTAAACTTATTTGAAAATGATTTTAACTAAGGCCCAACGTTTCGGATGCTTTGCAGCAGCCTTGGTCCCAGTCTTCAAATAAGTTTAAGTAATATATATTATCGCGTTTTAATCGGGTAAAGTGTTTTATTTAAATGTGTACTACGCGCGAAAACTACATACAGTATTTTACGATTTTCTTAACAGTTGAAAAAGTGCATCGGTCCGACAAACGCGACATCCGTAAAAAAAAGAGTGCCTCATTGATGTATGTGGGTAAGTCTTTCATATATTTTTTTGACGGGTTTGTTGTTGTAATGGTAGAGTGTATGGCTAATAATAATCAACGGACTGTGGTTTCGATCCCCACTGGTTCCAACAATTTTCCATGTTCGTTCGTTGTCGAATATCCCGTCTGGGTCACGTTCAACCGCGTTTCGATTTCAGTCAATGGATTTCCGAATATTCAAAATCAAAATAGGTCGATAGCGAGTCTTATTTAGATGTTATATGGCTGGGGTCATCATAACATCTATCATCTACCATGATTGACTGATCAGCTCCATGATTGTCTGTCTCCTCTATCATAAAAAAAATCAAGCAAATTTTTGCCCTCTGTAACTAGTGAGAAATTTATTAAAAGTTGAATTATTCGCTTACTTTTACTACCTTTACCTTTGTAGTTTGAATTAAGGTATTTTGTTATCTGTTTCCAACTGAGTCAAATATATTGTAACTATATGCAAACAGGCAAAAGGTAGGTTTAAATTAAATATTAGATTTTGTGCCTAACTAGTAATATTTATAGAAAGGCACGGTTAGTCTCATTAACTGTTATAAACCGATTTTAAAACCGATATAACGACCCTGCCCCCCATACACAACGAACGCGGGAACTTTTACTATGTCATCATGTTAGAGTTAGATAAAAACTCACCAATAGGTTCAACATAAGAAATGTGATCAACAAAATCACGCTTGGGCATATAAAGCGTTATTTTTCCATTAGGAGAACACTTTTTATACACTTTGAAATTGTAAACCATTTTGTAGATCACTTAGCAGTTATTATTTAGGACGTTATTTAGGAAGTTTTCGTAAACACTGACTGTTTAGAACGGAATGCGACGTAGAGTGTATTTCCTTGCGATTTATAGAGGATTATGAACGTGGCAGGCTTCTAAGTAGCGTTAATCGTATTTGCTTCATTACGAGAGCCTACTGTTGAGTACGCCCACGTGTCTTGGGAGTACTTCAAAGATTTCGCTTTAGATATGTAAAATATTCTTTCCGATACATATACTTAGACGTAGTATTTTCATTAACGATCGATGCTTTGAAAGATCCTGAAATCGCATTCGTTTAATTAAGAAAAGAAGGTGAGGTAGTTTTTGTACAAAAATGTGCTATACTTAATGTCTACCACATTAAATTTAATAACTTTTTTTGAATCTAAAACCCGATATACCTTCCTTACCTAAACTTGAACCTAAATTTTTTCGTTTACGTTCCATATGCCAAATGGCAAAACATCAATTTTTGGGTATAGTTAATTATTACATCAATAGTCGTAAATAATTTATATAGTTAAAACTAAATTATATGCTTTATCTATAGTTTACGCCAGTAAGACACTTTTAAGTTTACATCGCGAAATATAAGTTTTTAAATTTATTTATTACACTACGCGTTTTAAACCCTTAAAATTTTTTTTTTAAGTTTAATATACTAATATCCAAGTAACTGATTCCAAGTGATGCAATTATTCTGAACAAGACTGCCAATGTCAACTACTAATATTAAAAACTATTAAAGGATTTAAAATTCTTATCTTTAATTATTATGAAATAACCGTAGTTAAGTCTGTTGTCTGTAGGGCATTACTTACAACATGCATAACATATACGTGACTAAATGGAAGCGTAGTACATTGTTATAATAATGTGCGTAAGGAAACCTTACTATGAAAGCATTAGAAATATCAAATCCGATTTTTGTCTAAAATAGCGTAAACTTGAAAGTAAGCCTACAACACATCACGGACATAGCGTTTAATTAAATATAAGGCCACTGACCATGGTTAATATTCTTAACTTTTTAATACTTTAATGTTATTCTAGAAATTTAAACTACCCTATGAAATCATTATGAAGCTGAAAATTTGATAATCTTTCATATAAGTACTGTCTATAAATTACGCGAGTAGTACACATTTAAATAAAACACTTTAACGGTTTAAACGCGATATATATTAGTTAAATTTTATAACTAACTAACTCAAGAGTCTTCCCCTCACCACGGCTGCTGCAAAGCAAACGGAACTAAACTGACTGTGTCAGCAACTTCATCTGCAAAGAATTTTAGGCCTCCAAAAGTGTTTTTGCAAACCTCCTCTCCATATTTATATATTTAAGCAGTTATGTCAGTCACATCCCGTCGTACACATTCTTTCAATTTGAACAAGTAGTTCCAGAGATTAGCGCATTCAAACAAACAAACTCTTCAGCTTTATATATTAGTATAGATAAACACATAGAAATATACCCAAATAATCTAGAATATACATTCGCTCCTCAAAGGCGCATAAGTTTATATTCACAAGCGTCAACATAGCCGCACATAAGACCGGAATTGTAGTGAAGTCGCATATTCAATAAACTATGCAAAACAAAATTGTCTACTCGTAAACCCTTCGGGTGCCACTTGACGGCCCTATCTACGTTTGTCCCCTACTTCGTGATGCTATCTGAAGATATTTAAATTCATCGCGTCGGGTTCTTTGGCGATTTTTTGGTAAGCAGCTGTTTATTCGTCGGTTTGTCAAAAGAACAAGCACACTTTGTATTCAAAACGGTGTCTTTAATTATGGACTATATTAATTCTGTCGTGAGAATAATTATAAAGTTACTTAGCTGTGCTGTGCGACATCTCCACTCGAAAAAAATATTTTGAAAATTGTATTTCTCTTTGCATTTTTGCAAACAACCTCCTCAGTTTTATAAATTATATACCGGACATTTAAGTAGAACATTTAAAGAAGAACCACTCTTTCATACATATTTTTTGCTTGCTTGTTTTCGCAGCGCACGCAACGAACGTAAAAGATGAACAATTTTCCCAGATTTTTTCACATTTCCCTCTGTTTTAACACGAAAATATTTTTAAAATTGGAACCAAGTTGTTTCCTGAAATTAGAACGTACAAGTACAATTCGATTTCGAATACTTAGTGCTTACTTAATCTTTAGTATTAGAGACGTCGTCTCATTTAATAATAATTATATTGTTTCGTAAGACAATAATATATTGTTCCCAAATTCGAATAAACAAAGATACAAACGAGACACGCAATATAATGTCAAATTTACTTACTTGCAAGACTCTGCATTCAATCTCTTTTAAATAAAATTCATCGCTAAAAAATAATCTTTAGTGGCATATCATATGGGTAAAATATAATTAATAGAGTTGTCATGATAAAAAAGTATTTACTTAAAAAAAAAAGTGTTTACTATTTTATTGTTACAATATTATTTTTATACAGTGGATACAGAAAAAGGTTTGCGCCACTATATACGCTCACCTAGAGTTGACAGCAATGACCTTGTCTAATATTATCAGCTAGGTGAATCACATGCGCGTGCGCCTACCTCGGTCATTCACCGATAGGCTGTCTCTTTCGTTTCTTTGTTGCCTTCCCCAACTCGAGAAGGATAGAAAATTAAAGGCTTTTCTAGAAAAAAGGTAAAGTCTTTAAAATAAAGTAATTTAAACATCTTAAAAATTTTATATTTAGATAAGACTAAGTTAGAATTAGTGCTTTTTTAATTGTGGATATATTCGACATGCTATTTAGGACAATGCCTTATTGCCTTTTATTTTTTTTTACGTAAGATCTTTTCTCCTGTAATGATGTGCTTAGTAAGGCCGCTTTTATTAGTAAGATTTTTCCTCTATAATATGTCTTATATTTATTATAATTATCAAGCTTTAATAAATTAATCAAATAAATAATTATAGAATTTCATAAAAAACAACTAAAGTATTCTATAAGAATATTATAATATTGTTTACTTGCTCAAAACATTTTTAGGTAAATGAATGTTAATATTGACAAATTTAGTTTTTAATACTTTTTCCTGTGACTGTACATCAAGAATGCAAAGTAAAAACGAAGCTGACGTCATCATCCACTCCCGCGCCGGCAAACTACAGTTACTCGCGCGTCGCGTGTTTCCTCGCAAGACGTTATACAGACAGACATTACGTGCGACGATAAAACTTCCAATATTCACTATACAATGCAGTTAAAAAGAAAGTATTAAGTGTTATTTATGTGCTTAGTTCAACAAACCAATCGGAATCAATTTTGTTATTTGTTCAGTGCGGTGTATATACCTAATTTGGTAAAATCAAAAACTATAATGTGTATCGCTAAGTGATTTTAAAGGATTTTCAACAATGTCTGTTAGTCCCGAGCCTTCGTTGTCACCTGGTTTGTACCTCATTTGTTTATTGTTAACGTATTATTTTAGTAATTCAAATTCAATTACCATATTGCTACAGATTAAAAATTGGCACACATAAAACCATTCTACCCACTTAATTATATTATATAATACAAAGATCACAAAAATACAAGCAAGTCGATTTGCCTACAAAACAATTCTGACGAGTAATGAGTCTTCTACGCGGACGAAGTCGCTGACACAGCTAGTTCCTTATAAATATTAAAGATTGAACGTTGTAACTCCAGAAATACAATCGACTATTTGTCGCAACCCACAACCGCCACTATCTGAACAAAAATCTTTCATTTCCGTTAACCGACCGTCTCTATCGCGAAGTAAATAGTTTCGTTTCAACCTTATTTTTAATTTTTAAACGAAAGGTGTTTCATAACCGAGTCTAGATTGAAAATGTTCCCGTATTTCCTGGAACAATATTTTAAATTACATTTTATTAGTGCTAAGCTCTAAGTACCAACTCATTTCGTATGTTCTGCAAAATTTTACGATTCTATTTTCTTTTGTGTATAATTTTAATTAAGATTACACACAATACCCTACGATATAAAACATATAGTTTTCATTTTAATCTGAAAGGCATTGTGAGACAAAATAAGATGTCAAGATAAAATTTTAATTTCATATGTACGAGTCTTCTTCAAATCCTTCGACCGCCTCTGTAGCCAAATGGTTAACCCATTGCCTTTTAAACGCGAGAGGTCCTAGGTTCGAATCCCAAACAAAAATCTGTTCCGGTCGGGCAGGGCACAGAATTCTGATCAACTACTTGCCTGTTAAAAACGGATTAGTGAAACGAACACAAAAATGTGTTCGCCCCATGCCCCACAAGGGGGAAACGGGATTTAATTTTTTTCTTCAAATTTGAATTATCAAGATAATAGTGAATTACAATCATAAACAGTCCATCGTCGGGGACACGGAATTAACTGTGTATAATAGCTGGAGTTCGCGTTTTAGTGTCAGTCTATAGATTTCTAATATCCAAAGTCAAAATATGTCGATTTACGACATACGCTTTTGTCATGATGTTATTTAGCTGGGGTGTAACTTAACATGAAGTTATACCCATGCTTTTCCGACATAAAAAACTGTGTCCTAACTTATCCATCTTTTAAATCATGCCTGTATCTACACTGATGGATTTTATAATATTTTCAGGGGGCGTTGTGGAGCTCCGCGAGGATGTGCCTCTAAAGCAATACCATACGAGTCCTGGTGGACTCTGCGCCGGAGGACCGCGAGTCATCATCGGTGCTTTCGCAACTCTAACGCTAGCTATAACAATAGCACTGATCACCCAAATATATTATGGAGACTACCAAGTAACTTCCATGTACATAATTGCACTTTTAATACCGCACGACTTTAAACTATGTCTAAAATATTTGGCAAGAAAATCAGTTTTTATTAAAAGAGTATGTAAATATGAAATTACAATTCATTTATTATTCTAGAATCTAGATGACTCTCGTTTACTAAATTACAAGTGTTCAACTTGCCAAAATTCCCTTTCCAAAATTGAAAAATATAAGGTTAAATTTAGAGCTGTAGGCAATTAATAATGTCAATATAATTTGAATTAAAAATAACAAGACTAATAAAAAATACATTCGGAATAAATTAATTAATTAGTAGCTCAAAGACCGGCCGCAAATAGCTGATGGAGCAGAGAAATATATATTTTATCTATGGTATTTTAAGTACTTAAATATTGTTTGTTTTAAAGTCCTCCACGCCCAGTGTTTCCTAAGATAATTTTATTTTTCAGGTTGTTCCTCACGGTTCCGTATCATCATCCTCTGCAGAATGCAGCAGTGTAGGAACCAATATTATTAGGGCTGGTGGTCGGGCTATAGATGCATCAATAGCAACATCCTTCTGCTTGGCTGTCGTGGCACCACATAGGACCTCCCTTGACGCGCAAGTATCTAAAAATATTAAAAGGATAATTTATTTAAGTGACATCTGTGGAATAGTTTACGTAACTTTGCATTGTTTAGAAATTGACTTTAACGCCATCTCTTTTACTACTGTTGAACTCAATTCACAAATGTTCTTTTGTTAGAAACTTATCATTTGTATGTACGTTCTCTCGTTATTTTAAACTTCTCTGCAATTTAAATAGAGGGCGTTAGTTTAAATTTTAATAAAAAATCTAAATACATATAATAAATGCAATGTTGTGGATAAGGATACACATTTTAAATATAATAGCGTACAGGTAATATGTTTTTGAACCTATATTTAGTTCTTCTGCTCATTAAAATATAAAATGCCATTATTTAGATCTCATAAAATCAACATAATTATAAAAATTTAATTTATTTTGCTTCTAAGAGAGCTAGGAATTGATAGGAGGCCTTTATTTCTCAGTTCATTAGAAAGGTAGAAAAGGTATGAAGTCCTATTAAGTTATTTTAGAGTCAGGAATGCCTGTATTAGCAAAACTAAATAAATATTTTATAACTTTACACATACCTAACTTATTTTAATTAAACATCATGTAGCAATTAACAATTTTATTGTTATTATCAACTAATTGAATTTGCGTCATCATAAATTATATTTAAAGGGTAGAAAAACAAAAATTTTATTAAGATGATATGTTAAGAATATATTTTTAAGCTATGAACGTTGTATTCATAACCGTATTTAAACAAAAAATAATATTAAATTTTAAATTCTTAAAAAAAAAAAAAAAAAAGGGGGGGTAAAAAATTTTGGGGGTTTACCCATTTTACCCTTGGCGATCTTTTTTTTCTTATTAACAAAAGTGCAGGACAGACAAGCGAATAGGGCATCACCCAAGGGGGCCGGGGGGGGGGGCCCCCCCCAAAACAAAAAAAAAAAACAACCCCCCCCCCCAAAAAAAAAAAAAAGAAAAAAAAAAAAAAAAAAAAAAAAAAAAATAAATGGGGGGGGGGGGGGGGAAAAAAAAAAAATTTATAAAAAAAAAAAAAAAAAAAAAAAAAAAAAAAAAAAAAAAAAAAAAAATGTTTTTATTTTTTTTTTTTTTTTTTTTTTTTTTTTGCCGAATGGGTTTTTTTTTTTATTGGCAGCATATATTTGTGTGTGTGTGTAAATAAATAAATAAATATCACTGAAGGTAAAATAGTTCACCTTTATAACACCTAAACGAGGGGTGTTTTTGGTATTGCACAGTCGGAAATTCAGACAGACTAAAATCGAAACGCGATTAAACTTCACAGCTCATCAACTGTGAACGATGATTCAGGACCCGTACGAAATATCGAAAGTTCTTACCACCCATTCTTCTAAGCTTCAACGATTTATAAATTTGGAGCCGATGGGGACTAATATCATAAGATCAACGATCCTATCAGAACGCAACGTATTATCATTTTGTTCTTTATCTATTTCAGAAGTGGATCACTATTGTACTGGGAGTACCGTCGTCTTCCGTATCTTCAGCCGACCCTTGTCGAATGGAGTGGAAACCACAATAGCCTGGATACAAACCCTGTACCACGTCTTGTTCTAGGACTAGCTGCCATCCATGACACATATGGAACGCTACCCTGGCCGACGCTGCTGCAGCCAGCTATTGATCTAGCCCGGTATTTTTCTTAAACTTTTGTTTTAATTCTTCAATATTATAATATTATGTATATAGCCTAAATTCGTAAATTATGATTTCTATTCAATAACGGTAAAGCTAATTGAAAGGTATAACATTCTATATGTATGTTCTATTAGAGCGCTTAAATTACTCGACCAATTTTAATGAACTTGTTGGGAATGTTAGATAATGTAACCAGGGCTGTTTTAAAAATAAAAGTGTGATTAAATTAATATTTTTTATGTGATATTGCACATGACATTATGCAAAAATCATGTTTATGTGTAAAGTGTCTATATCTAATGGATTTATATTCTCGTGTTTGAAGGCGTTAAAAACGTGATTTTTATATAAAAACAAATATACTCTATAAGTCTTTAAATGCCTAGTTGTGGCCCAGGCTTGAATAGAACCTTTTCTTAAATAATGCGCGGAAAATAAAAAAAATACTACATATAACTCAGAACTTTACAACTAATGACAATAGTTTTTTACCCGTAAAAGTATTTTGTTTTTTCACTAAACAGTTATCTATGTGCAAGCCAGTTCGAAATTTAATTTAAACCTATATTAAGTTAACTCTTTGGTCGCCATGTTGCGGAATCAGAAGACCGTTCCATTTTTGAATTACACGACAAATATGAATTTACATAGTAGTTTTTTTGGCCGCTAAATACGACAGATACGGATTTCCATGCAACTAATGCCGGTGCTTGACCAGTACAGCAACTTCGATGTATAGAGGGATATTGCATAATGCTCAAATTTCCAAGCGTGTTTAGAAAATCTAACCGAAGGTGTTGTAGTATATTCTTTCCAGTTACATAGTCTTGTTTTGTAAAACTCGTCTCTTTGTTATTTCCAGGAATGGTTTTAATGTGTCTGCTGGTCTCGCGATCGCAAGTTCGTCGTTATTTATACCGGGGTATGTAGCTGGTGCTTTGAGGACAGAGCCAATATTAGCTGACTACCTTCAGTCCTTACAGCAAAACACAAGTGCCGGTAAATTTCGTTTATTATTTATGATTGAATTTTAAAATGAATAAACACTTCTCTACACACACTATTTTAACTACGACCCGAGACCACGGCTACTGCAAAGCATCCGAAATGTCGGGCCGAAGTAAAAAATCATTTTCAAATAAGTTTAACTAATATATCGCCTTTTAAACCGTTAAAGTGTTTTATTTAAATACGACCCGAGGTTTAAATATTTTATTACTCATAAATTGTTTTACATGCAAATAAGTGCTATAACAAGTATTAAGTTTATCTTAGACTGAATGTTTTTATGACACTGGCGGGGTTAGAATCCGCAACCACAGCTCACCGTGGTGTGCTTTACTAATTGACCATGACACGGTAGCTCAATTGTTAAATCAACAGTACGATAGGGTCGTACACGTGTAATTCTTCAATCGAAATTGACAATCTTTATTATTCAATTATACAAAAAAAACTACATCTGTGAGTACTCCTTAATCGTATTCTAATGAGTTCTAAAATGTATCTAGTCAGGTTTTCCTAATTTTTCAATCTGTATTAAAAGAGATATTGTTGCAGAGCTATGTGCTGCTTGGCTGTGTGAAAGTTTAGTTATATCAAGCTCAGTGGGGACAGTAAAAGCTGGCACCTGGCGTATTTGGGCTGGCAGTTCTGGTGCGCGTGCTGCGATAGCACTGTCTTCTGCGTTTGAACCCTTGCCTCTTAGCTCACTTGAAGCCCTTCAGAGGTATGTGTTTAGACATATATAACATAAAATTCGTATTAATAAATGTTCAATCTAATAAGAGTATAAGATAAAAGCCACGGTCACTTTTGACTTTGACGTTTTCAAAACAAAACACACCTTAACCCTTTCTTTTAACTGATGGTGTGAATGCCTAGTGCCAGCCCACGTCGGGCAAGTATGGCGTGGGGAGTGTGGTAAATCGTATGACCGACCAGAACCACTAAACACACACCATCAGGCCTCTACGGTGCTTTAAGGGAGCCCTGGGAACACCTTACGCTTTAAGCCCACTCAACTGACCTCCGCAGACAAAAATGTGGTTAAGTAAAATCGCGTCTGTTTCAGTCTGTAGATTTCCGAATAAGCAAAACCAAATAGGACAGCATACTCTGTTCAGTTGTTATATAGCTGGGGTACTTCAAGCAGGGGTAGTGCTCTATTATAAAAGAGAAATTAACTTTTAATCAGCGTTTATTTTTTGTTTTTAATTACCAGTTATACTAGTACCAGTACTATACTAATTTCAATAGTACTCCTCGAATGCTTATTGTCGTCATTACATTTTTAGGGTAGTGGCAAATTTACAGTCACAAGCTATATCGGCAGCAGAGACTTGGCCAAGCGGAGTTTCTTCAGGATTAGCAGTTGTCGATCCACAAGACACTTATGTCGCCCTAGTCACGTTAGTATTTTTTTATTTATTCAAATCATCAAATTATGAGAAACAAAAAAGTAAAAGCTTGGTTTTAAAATTGTTGTTCAGGATAACACACGCGAACTGTAAAGAAATCTACGTATATTTTTCTGGTAATTAATGTATTTTATAAAACAAAAAAAATCTTATTTACTAGAAACTAAAATTATCCGACGTGGTTAGTTAAATACTGTCTATAGTTTACGCGAGTGGTACACATTTAAATAAAACCCTTCAACGGATTAAAACGGGATATATATTAGTTAACAATTAATTGAAAAGTATTTTTAACTACGGCCCGACGTTGTACGGCAAAGTATCCGTAACGTCGGGTAATTTAAATAAAACACTAACGGTTTAAAACGCGATATATTAGTTAAACTTATTTGAATGATTTGCCTTTTAATGGTCTTTTTTAAATGTGTAGACTACTCGCGTAAACTATAGACATACAGTATTTAATTAGCCCCGTCGGGTATATATATCACGTTTTAAACCGTTAAAGTATTTTAATTAAAAGATTTTCGAAATACTACACCCCAATTCATATATTAATGCTAAGTAGTTAACCTTATTTTTTTAAGAAGTTTTGTCTTTACATATCTGAAAATATTTTACAGTGGTCTGACAGTCGCTTTTGGATCTGGTAAGGAAATGCCAGATGGTTGGAGACAAGACATTCCCGCCGCACCGCTTGACTTGGCGCCAGCTATTCTTGTAGACGAATTTGTTTGTGGTAAGCTATTTATAACGGCGTCTGAAACCTAGACCCACTGACTACGTAATACTAGTAACATTTTCGAAGCAACATTGATTTTATCAAACATACCTTTTGCTAACTTTAAACCTTTATTTTTTCATACCTTCTATAGAGACCAAATTGTATTTACGATGTTTTTTTCTCTTCTAACCAAAACTTGCATTAAATACAGAAATAAGATTTTATTATAACTTTATCAAATTTGAATAATTCAAATAAACATTTTAACGGTTTAAAACGCTTTCATTTGAAAATTATTTTAACTACCGCCCGACGTTTTGGAAGCTTTGCACAGTCGTGGTCATGGGAGACATTATAATAATAATTTATTAGACAGGCGGTCGATCAATTTCTTAAATCTAATGAGTGTTAGTTGGGTAACAATTTGACTTAGGTAGTAAATTAGTATGTGTTACTCACTGGAACTAAAGAAACAAAATAATACAATAGATGCTATGGGGAGCATGATCTTTATGCCATCGTTTTACCAGCACAGGGTGTTTGTCGCACAATGCATTCAGAATGCCGTTGGTGTTTTGCCTACGTACAGTACATGAGAAAGGTTACAGGCTTGCAGATAATGGCGTAGAAACAAAAAGAAAATTTGCAAGCCCCATTGGGCTACAAATTGCTATTACAATCTGAAAGCATTGTTGTACTCCACACGAAGAGTTAATAATGTACATCGTACTTCATTTTAGGAACCAGATACATCATGGGTGCAGAATCTTTATCAGCGCTCGCTCAAGGAGTTGCCACCGCGTTTATGGATGGACCGCTTAACATCGTTGAAGCTGTAGAGAGCGCTAGAGTAGTTGTAGAAGCAGGTGGTTCTCTAGCTATAGAACCAAACCGGATATTACCTCTGGCCGTCTTATCGGCACTGTTTAAGGGTCTTCCTGGTAATGCTACTCTTCCCCTGGCTGCACTTAACATGGTTCAGCAGAGGAGCGACGAATTATTGTCACACGCTGATAGTCGCGGCGGAGGTTTGGCATCAAGGTTTTAGCTGATAATAATAAATTATATGTCTTATTATTTTGCGTCTCATTGAAATCCCCTTTGTCGTCATGGTATAAAACAGCCTATCTTTGTTTTCTCGTTAGAATCTAGATTACCTTAAATCTTATACTGCATTTAAAAATCTAAACTTACGAATTAATTTTTAATTAAAATTATCTCTTTTGGGCTGTTTATTTAAATTTTTTATTTAAATTAATTCTTTAGGTTCCACTTGACCGTGTTTATTACCTTTTTAAATAAAGTAATTTAGTAAGTAGCGCATTAAAAAGATAACAATAATAACAATTACACTTCGAGCAATTTACTAGGTTTAATTTTTGCTTTTCGCCTCGAGAATCACAGAATTAATTTTAATAAAATTTTAGTAGCGTTTTTTGTAGAAGTTCAGCCAAAGTAAATAAATATATAACAAAGGCAGCTAAAATTCGTTTAACATAGCTTTGTTTACGATGAGCTGTTTATGTATCTGCTTTGTGGCTAAGAATAAATAATGGCATTGAAAACAATGTGAACAGTTATGACGAGTTATTTATGAGTTATTCAGTACAATCGTCGTCAATAGAACTCACGAGCACACAATATTCGAAGAAGTAGTTTCAAGTTTAAATTGTTTGAGTGGTATATAGAAAAATGTCAATTGAAGCCTTAACAACAAAGTTTTATAGAGAAATTAATATAAAGCTTGATAACTATGTGCAAACAACCGCTTTCTCTCCATGCCTCGTCCAACTCGTCTAAGTATTATGACTCTTCTTGTTCGGTACAGGCTGTCCGCCTATGGAATGAACCACTCACAGTCAGACTCTCACAGAGTCACACTATATTTAAGGTCAGGGTCAAGCAATACTTTCTTGGTAATGCTGTTTAGCCTTGGTCTCACTGGCTTTAGAATTAATCACATTTAGGACCTTCATATGGTAACCATATGAAGGTCTGATGAGGAATGATAGGTGTATTAAATGTATTATTTTATCTATAAAGTATGTTTAGCCTTAGTATTTTAGTGTTAATTTTCAGTTTAAATTATCTTTCTATTGTATAATTTTATTTTTCATGTTGACATTTGATTGTTTACTAAAAATTATCTTTTTTATTTCTACATGCAAAGGTTGCCTGGAAGTAATCACCATGGGCGATAAGGCCGCCTTTGCACAAACATGTTTTATTTTGTACATATTATAATTCTAGGTATCTATGTTCTTATGTTTGTGCAATAAAGAGGTTTTATTATTATTATTATGTACTCGTATTGTTGTATATTATATGTTCTCTGTCGACCTATTCATATTTGGAACAACTTTGGAACAGGCGGGACTAGACACCTTAACACCGCGTTCCGCGTTCTTAATCTTAACCACCTTAGTGCGCATTCTTATCATATTTGTTGAAATTTTACAGGCATATGTTTTTTTTCCAAATCATAATTTATTTATTGAAGACTTCCTTTTCCTCTTTATTTTCTTCTTGGATAAGATTAAGGAAAAACTATCCGTAACAAGATAATCACTATGAACGATTGGCGCTATAATATTAGCTTTTTGCATTATTACCGTTGCGTCATGATAATTACTTTATAATATAATTTAAATAACTAAGAATAATTATTATCTATAACAACTAGAGATGCTACCACTATTACATTGAACTGTAAGTATGTTTTATTTGTCTAAGACACGAAACAGAGGTCTCTTACTAAAACATTTAGCTGTGTCAGCGACTTCGTCCGCGTAGAATAGTTATTTTGGGCATCCAATGGGAGTTTTTTCAAACCTCCTCTTCATCTTTATAAATTTAAACTGATATCCGACATGGACATCGAACGCGTCCCGTGGTTTTGGCAAGGTCAAAGATAGACATATAGTGTCGAGGACATTTTTTTCAATTATGATCTCCTTTTCAAACGTGAAGAGGTATCATTCTTTCATACATATTTTTTGGGTATCTTGAACCGTTTTTGCAGTGTACGCATCAGAAACCCACAGAGATGAAAATTCCTCCCCGTTTTTTTTCCTGCTGCTCCTTCCCTCTTATTAGTCACAGCGCGTTGCGCTTTAGCATGTTTTATAGCTTTCCATGATAAATGTTCTAAAATAAAAATAATGTTTTTAAGTAAATTATCTAATATATATACCATTTTTAGTAACTGGTATAACGATATTATACTTCATAATTTCGAGGATAAACCGGATCGTGATACAAACTCGGGTTATAATACAAACAAAATGTTGTTTGTATCACAACCTGAGTTTTTAATTTTATCATATCTAGTAATTTATGACGTAGAAGTATTATACAATAGCATTGCATCAATTTTACTTAACTATGTATAATTATTAACTACGTATCTTCAAATGTGTCTATTATTAAATATAACTTGATTTTATTATAATTAAACAATCCGTGAAATCGTAACAGATTGTAAACTAGTATTCATAATATAGTCAAAGGGGGAAAAAATATTTGTTTAAAGTCCAGATTCGTCTGGATAGGGTATAGGGGCACAGGTGTCGCATTTAGTTTACAGGTTAACAGTTATGTGCCCTGCCCGACCGAAACTATTAGCCCGGACATTAAAATTGTCATGAATTTTTTAATGCGATTAACAAAGATACGGATATAAATACCTCCTTTTTATATTTCCCGACTGAATTGAATATTTGAAAAATTTTCCTCGCTCATGCCGGCGCTTCGCGATACGGGAAAAACTTGAAGGTGATATGTGGTTTTTCTTAGAAAATTGTGAGTTCATATTATGACTCTGTATGCGAGCGCTGGGTATAATTGATCCTAATGCATTTATTATAACGGCAAAGTAGAGCTGACGTGTATTGCATAGTTCTAAGTTTTTTCAAAATCGAAATATAGTATTTACGACGCGCCTTGTAGCAGCCGTGGCTTGGGGCACTGATATTGGAGGATCGCCCTAATGTCAATGTCAAATCTGCTTCGCTAGCGCCGTCTAGTTATTTAAAAATAAAATGTTATGAATATTAAATAAAACACTTTAACGGTTTAAAACGGGGAGTCTTCTCGTGACCTCGACTGCAAAGCATCCGAAACGTGGGTCCGTAGTTAAAATAATTTTCAAATAAGTTTAGCTAATATATATTGTGCTTTAAACCGTTAAAGTGTTTTATTTTAATGTGTACTACTCGCGTATACATTTAACTACACACACAACTACAGACAGTATTTTGTGTAAATATTTTCAAAATTAACTCTTAACTCTTAGTGATTTGTCCCGTCGTACACTTTTGATATAGAATCCGTACATAAAATGAAAGAGAGTCATGCGCATATTTTACAATATAAACAAAAACTGGAACGCCTCAGCTGAAACTAAAGGTGTCTAGTCAATAGTAATTAGATTCTCGTGTAAGTATGAGTACGAATAAGTGTAAATAAGTATTCTAATATTTACCTTGTAAATATAAATATTGTTTTCTAAGCTAAGCATAAATTTAATGAGAATTGAAAATTAACACAGAAAATGATAGACATATAGAAATGAAAGATCTACAATCTAAACTAATATAAAAGCTGAAGAGGTTGTTTGTTTGAACGCTCTAATCTCAGGAACTATGGATTCAAATTGAAAAATTATTTTGTGTTGGTTAGGGCATTTATCGAGGAAGGCTATAGACTACAAAATATAGCTGTGACTCATAGAAACAAGACTCGAAGAAACAGCGACAAACGATGCATTGTACAAATGGGTCTTTATATATATATTAACGAATTATACGAGCGAGTCTTATTTTATTTAAATAATATTTTGTTGTAATATGAATAAACAGAAGTAAAAACACGCGCAACGAATTACGTTGTTGCAGAGTAACTCCGTACGTCGTATTTACGAGATAATTTTAATACGGAAGCAACAAAGAATCCGAGATACCATAATTAATTGTGGACGTGCTCTTTAAAATTCCTGAGTGTCGTAGGTATATAATTTTCTTTGAAATTAAAGTTAGTTATTATTTTTTGTACATTTTAAAGGTTCCGCAGAGAAAAGGTAGAGGTAATTTGTTTTTAAAGGCTTTCACAATTACTATCCGTCTCTTTATGTTTCTCATGAATACTTATATCATATACCAATGGAGGTTTAAGTTGAAGGATTATTTTCCCAAGACATGTTTCGTACTAAGTACTTTGTCTGTACTTTGTCCCCAAAAGATCTTCTTAAGATCAAGGCTTCGGAAACGCCGGGCCGTAGGTAAAATAAATTAAAAATAAACTAACTCTTGTAAACTGCGTTTTAAACCGTTAAAAGTTGTAAATTTAAATCTGTTCAATTTGTATTGCCTATTACATAGAGATCTTAGAATGGTTCATCACTATATTGTACACATATATTGCAATAAAATTAAAAATCAAGAAATTTAAACAATTTGTCGCATTCAGGTTAATAAAAGTCTTATTACCATAATTCAAGAAAAACATTCGAAAACCCAATAAATTTATAACATTCCGTGGGTGTCATTAGAACTAAATGTAAAAACCGTAAGAAATTCACGATGATAAAAATAAAATGCAAATGATGCCAAATCGCAGTGTTTTGAAACGTAAGCGCAAATGATGTGAAACGCAACTGAGACATGAGTTTTATTAAGGAATTATTCACGTCATATAATTATATAGTTTCAATTATTACATAGTTTAAATATTGCTTAACTATTGTTATTAATACTATGTTATTGTTTTACCGAAATTAGGGAAACTAAAAAGTGATAGAAACGAAAAGCAACTTGACTAAGTCCACTGGAATTAATTTACAGATGTGTCTGTACATATCGTGTACTAGCTGTGTCAGTGACTGCGTCCACGTAGAATACTTATTTAACACACAATAGCTATTACACACGACGTCGCGCGCGCGTACCGTCATTAGTATAGATGGAAACTGTATGCAACATAAACCAAACCTTCCACGATTATGGTCAAAAAGAAAAAGAACTATTATTTGATACATGCAATATAATATGA